AAGCACATCATTCTTTTCTCACGATCACGAATGATCTTGATACCAAGAATGTGTCCTACTTCACCTATGTCCTTCATATCAAACTTCTTACACAACCACGCCTTTACGTCCGATAACTCCTTCTTGTTGTTGCCAATAAGAAGTATGTCATCCACGTATAGCACAAGAAACATCACCACGCTTCCACTAATCTTCTTGTATACACAGTGCTAATCCGGACATTGGGTGAATCCGTATGACTGGATTACCTCATCAAACCGAATATTCCAAGACCTTGAGGCTTGCTTCAGTCCATAAATGGACCGATTAAGCTTACAAACTAAGTGAACATGCCCTTTTGCAATGAATCCTTCTGGCTGCTACATATAGATGTCTTCCTGAAGGTTCCCATTAAGGAAAGCCGTCTTAACATCCATCTGCCACACTTCATAATCCATATGAGTGGCTACAGCTAAGAGAATCCGAATGGATTTAAGCATAGCTACTGGCGAAAAGGTTTCATCATAATCGATACCCTCTTTTTGGGTATAACCTTTCGCAACAAGACTAGCTTTAAAGGTTTCCACCTTTCCATCAGATTCTCTCTTTCTCTTGTAAACCCACTTACATCCAATGGGACGTATCCAATCGGGTGGTTCTACTGTTGGGTTCTGTTAGGAACGTCAAACAACATGCACAATATTAAACTTTATCGAAATGAATCCTAACGCAGCGGAATCTATAGTTAGGATATGGACGTTTACCTTTTAAAATTTTTGCCGACTCTGAGACGATGTAGAGTACCGTTGGTGAAGTTCGTCTGAACACCACAACCTAATGGGCGGATAGGTTTGGCCTTTAGTTGATTCTAATCAACTCGTCAAACGGATCACGAACGGACGGTGGCTTGGTCTCGTTCGTCGGGTGGCAGCGGGCTGGTCGCAGGCGTCGTGCGCGTCGGGCGCTGTGCACGGGCGTGCGTCTCACGGACAACAACGGGCTGGCACTGACAGCGTGCATGTGCGCGTCGGGTGCGGGCAGGTCGCAGGTGC